CTGTATACAATACAGGCTGTACCTTTATCCACTGTGTAAAACACCCAGATGAAAACAGGTTGGTAAAACAGAGACAGCAGACCTTCTGTAAATCCTTCATTTAGAGGCCTGTATCCTGGAGTGTTTCTACCATGAGCCAAACCAAGGCTAAAAGTTAGATATCACAGTGACTGGCCACAGGTACATAGCGTTTCTTCATCTTTCACATAGATACTTCCACCACATCTTGTGCGTAGGTCATTGGCTAAAAATGTAACATCTTGATACAGTCCAGATATCATCATATATGGTATTATCACATGGGGTGTGGGGTTATAATATAATTATATTATTGTATTTTATGCTTCAGGTGTTTTTTTTAAATAATATATACGTATAATTATATTATTGTATTTTATGTTTCAGGTATTTCTTTGCAGATAATTTCGTAGCAAACTGACAGATTCAGATTGTTGTTGAATACAAGTGAAAACATTTTCCTGACTTTTTGTGCATAGGATCCACACTAGTGAAATGGAGTGGAACAGCAGAGATCTGCACAACAGCCAAATATAAGACGAGAGCAATGAACTCCTACCACCTCCTCCACAGAGACATTTTTAACATTTATCCTGCAGTCAGCAGGAACAGGTTGTTCCAGTGCAGGCCCGGTAAGATGCATGACATGGAGGCTGATGAAAGCATGTGAGATTCTTCTTCGCCCACAATAAATGGGGAAACTGGATGACTTCCAACTTTTCTTCTGTCAGACCACCCACTTAGACCGACATAAAAAGAACATGCACAGTACAGTTAGTGTCATGCACCAGAGGAGGGATGGCAACAATTTGATCCAAATAATTCACTCTGTATTGACATATTAACTTTTTATACTTTGATTAGATTATAAAGGTTATAATCAGCACTGCAAGGAAGACAGTAACATATTATATTTGCATTTTTAGGCTTGAAGTCATAATTTTAAATATTCCATATATACGTATGTTTCTCACTGTGCAGCAGCCCAATGTGTTTTTGATTAGGCCTGCCATCAGCACCTGTCATACAGACAATAGCTTCAATATTACTTACACCAAGTTGCTCTCCAAGTCTTTTCTGCACTGGAGTTTCATTTAGTTTTGACAGCTGGGGCTCAGTGTGTCTGTAAATGTATCATTCTAAAGACACTGTGTTGTGACTGAAGTGGAGAAGAAGAACAAAGAGGCTGGGGCAGGGATCTTTGTCTCAGCAACAATAACTGTGACACTATGGCATATTCACAATCTCTCACAATTGGAATAATTTGTTTTGAGTGAGTAATGTCCTTACATTTTAAAGTTCCTGTGTTTACCACCTGTATTCTTCGTGTGAATGACAAATCTGGAGTCAGAGGAGTGCCACAAAAAACAATAACGCTGTAAAAGAATAAGAAAATAAATGTAGAAATATAAACAGGAATAAATAATAAAGAGGAATGAATAAAAGACTAATAAAAGCAAAATAAGAGGTGAATTATTTTTTGATTCTTTTACTTATTTCTCTTCATATTTCCCATTTTTTTCATTTAGTTGTCATTTTATTTATTCCTATTTATATTTCCACATTTCTTATCATTTTACAGATTTATTCTTTTTCATGATACTGCTATGACTTCATGGACAAACAGAGTGGTTAACATCTGTATTCAACTGAAACTAATTTTAAAAAACAACTAGACACAAACAAGGTAGTTTTGAGCAGAAAAAGCATTTAAAAAAAAAGTGATTATGTATGTATGTATGTATGTATATATATTTATATATATGTGTGTGTGTGTGTGTGTTTGTGTGTGTGTTTAATAGCCCTGACTGTAACTTATTTATAATAACATTGTACTTGCCAAAGCACAGCTGTAACCAGAACTTTCAGAATATTGTGGTTATCAGTCCAAGTCCTCCCAAGCCCCCCCCCCGACTGTTTTAAAGCGTTCTACAACCCTAATCCTAAAAAACCTTCAAGAATAAAAATTACTATTAATTTTTGTTGCCCTTAAAAATCTTTAAAAAAAACTGAGACATATTGAGCCTGAAATTGATGTAAAAACAGCCACCATAGTTTTTAAATTGTTGAATCAAACTCCCCAGGTTGACAATTTCCTGACAAATATAGAGGACATGACCTCAGTGTTTTCAGTGGAATTTGCAAGTAAAAGGTTATCCAATGGCCACAGCTATGAAAGTTAAACCTAAGTTGTAATAAACATTGTTAAAGGCTTCAAATTTCTATGTATCATAATTTTTGTAAATGTGTTTTACAACCTCTGTAGTGAAAACATGTCCAGGCTGCTGCTGGCATCCATTCTTTAGATCCTGCAGTGACTCTTCCATTGGTGCAGTGTATGAGATGTAACATTTACCATGTGACTCATTCTCAGTGGTTCATTCACTGAGAATGAAGGCACCTGGCAAATATGATTTGGTTGCACTGTGTTTTTCCAACATTACAAGCATCTGGGTGATGCTTGTAATGCACCATAACCATGAAACCAGTGTGAAAAGGTCCATGGGAGAAAGAGCTGCTACTTTTAACCAAAAGCTGCACTCGCAAAAATATTCATTCAAATCTGTCTTTTCAATCCAAATCCTAAGTGAATACTGAGAACAGCATCCTCATTATGAGACACTGGATAATAAACTGACTGAATACAGTTCTGCTGTCGTCCTGGTCATTGGACAGAAAACTTCATACAGGAAATGACAAAAGTTAAAGCCACTATGTGTAAAGTTCTTATATGATTATTAAAATTATCCTGAGGACATTATTAGTAGAAATGATTAGAAAGTAGAAATTGTCTGCAATGTATACTTGCTTTCTGCCTATTTATCACATTGTAGTTTTTCATTTTACCACTAGGAGGCATCATAGTTTGATACATTTAATTCCTACATATAGGTGCTTTAACTAAAAATTCAAAGCCAAGTCATCACAAGTCAAATAACTCTTGTGCAAAGCAAATATAAGCAAATAAAATAATTTTCGAATCCTTATATTTTTGGATTTGACAAACTGAATTTGTGGACTGGGATAAAACACATGCAGCCACTGAAAGAAAATAAAGCTCATCTGTACATCATACAGAATATTTATTGTATGTCCTCAAAATACACAGGAAACCATTAGACAGAACACAGGGCAAAAAAAAACCCTTCAAGGTCATTTGGAAAGGACGACCACAGTTGGCCGTTCTGAACTTCAGTTTATCAGACGGCAGAGGTTTCCTCTGTTACAAATCAAAGGCTTTCTCCTTGGAAAACTAATGCTGAGCTTTGACTTAACTCAAAACTTCCACACAATAAATAAAAGATGTTTTTCTTTTTCTTACACCCGTAACAGTACCTGTCAGACAAAATGATCACTTGTCATTGGCTCTTTCTTTTCCCCATTGGATTTACCCAAAACATGTCATCACACATCTCAGAGATGCAGGAGCTGTTTCTTTACTCGTCTGACATCATGGAGAGAGGCGCTTCTCCGTCTCCTCCTTTAGGGCTTGGGTCTGTTCCACAAATCCATTTCCCTTGATGGCAAAGAGAAGATTTCATTTAAATCATATTCTATAGACAATCATTAGTAGTATCCTAAACCAATTGAATCTATTAACTATGCTTTTGGCATGTTCCATTGGCCCTGCAGCAGAAAACGAGCCAACACAACAAAGCTTTGTTTAAGTTGCAGCCAATGAGCAGATCAGCACAGAATTCATTCTCAGGAGAACTTTCACCTTATTGATTTGTGCTCAGACACTCTTGTCTTACTCCATACAGTGTCAAAGTATGGGAATAAAAAACTGCCACATGCAAGTCGTGTTGAAAAGAAATTCTGTAATAGAAACACAATATATTATTTGGCCAGGTGAGCATTTAAAGACACTGTGTAGAATTTTAAAGTCATGTTCTGTTTCTTTGTAGAAAAATTGCAGTTGGTCAGATCCAAGAGGCTGAGGTGTACAACCACTTTTCTACATGTAGAGGCTTTAATTAGTCACAAAAGAATGACTCAGTATGCCTCCAACAAAGTGCTGGTCGGATCGTCTAACGATGTACATCACACCTTTTTAAATTAGGGAAATGTAGAATCTGTGTCCAACAATTTTTGTAATGTTTGGAAACAGATGATTTTTTAAAACTGGTCAGTGGTGTGGAGGTGCAGAGGTAGGCTACATTTGTGTACAGCCAAAATTTAACCTTGTAGCCAATGTTTTGATCTTTGTGGATCACATCTTTACTCTTCGCTGCAGTTCTCCAACAAGCTTCTACCAACATATGAAGCCTCCTCTACTGTCTTACAAACACATCTCTGGTTCTTTGTGGTATTGTCTGGTGTTGGCGACATCATCATTAGAAAAAAATGTGACTGGATTAGAACTCAACCACAATTTCTGTCTCCAAAGATGGGGCTACAACAGGATCGGGTTAAAGCCCTTTCCAGTCCAAGCTCTACTTTTACTTTGAAAATACAGGACTAATTGCTGTTATCTAAACTATTCCCCTCCATTGCTGAAAACATTTTTTTGCATAATGTAAATTGCTGACTTAAAATTAGCTTTTGCTAAAACAAAATCAATTTGCACAAATGTATAATGTTTTTTATGAAGAGTCACCTTCACGACTGCTGTGGCAGTTTTTTGTTCCTATTTGAATATTGAATTTATTCAGTCTGATATTTGATTTTAATTCAAGTTAGTGACATACTGAACGTTGTAGTGATGTCACAGAATCAAAGATACGCCTGTTGTGAAGTGCTTTAACAAAGTCTCTTCTGCTGAGTTCTCCTTTTTAGCCATTTCAAATACACACACACACACACACACACACACACACACACACACACACACACACACACACACACACACACACACACACACACCTGCAAATTAAATTCAATAAATAAGACTTACAATGTTATAAGGCAATGTTGACCATGCATTTGTCACAATGAACAACAAATCAAGAAACATACATGGTAACAATATGCACATTCATTAAGAGCAACACGGTAGCCACTCCCCACAATTTTTTTATTTTTTATTTATTTTTTTTAAATCAAGTGAAGTTTTCAAGGCTTTCCGGGTGATCTCCTGATCGACAGGGCTCATCCCCACCACACCTGGCCCTGGTGTCTGCAGTGGGACGACCTCTTCATCCAGAGAGCCCAGTCCAGCAGCAGGCTGGACACACAGCAACTGGACCCAGCCACAGTGGGGCTTTTGCATTGCATCCAAAGTTGGGAGTTTATTCAAGAAAAATCGAAAGTCTTTGTGGAGACAGAGATCCAGCAGCCAGCTGCTCAGAGCCTCAGGACAGTCCCGAGGTTTCCAGGTAACTCTGGAGTTTCCTAACTGTACTTCTGTCCAAGGAGCAAAGGTCGAAGTCAAAAGTAGTGTTTGTGATGTGGAAGTGTCCAGTCTCTTCAATCAGGTTCACAATCTGGAAAACATGAGGAACAGCTGGTGAACACTCAAAGTATTTATTTCTATAACCAGAGCTGCAGGGTTTGATCTGATGAGCTTTACATGAGCAGAACAAACACTGTTTCTTTAACTGACACTTCAACTCCTTTACTCATCGGCTTATTCTTTAACCTACACTTCAACTCCTTTCAAAACCTATAATTTAATGCCTTTAAGTGCATACACTTCAGCTGATATCACAAACTCATTGTGATACCTCCAGTGATACTTTTAGTTTTTACACTTCAACACTTTGACACTTCAAACTAGCACTTTCAGCTAGTGCTTAAACTTCAATCAGCACTTACACTATAACTGACACTTCATCTTTTTCCTGCCATTAAAGCATTTTCTTAATTTAATTCAAACTCAACATGGTAAGACACTTAAACTGTTTCAAGTGTTTGAGCTGCCAATTTGCTCATTTTCACAGGAAGCACACATCATGTTTCTTCAGAAAATCTTTTCTAGTTTCAGTTTTACCCATTTTGGGATTTTTGCTTGCGACAGATCAGATGTGAGACATCTGTTGCTTTGGCTTTGTGAAGCTGGCCTCAAATCCACTTTGACTCTTCACAGAACAGTGGAACTCAAAACAAGAGGAATCATGTTAGTGTTTCTTTACAACCTGAAAGAAGTGACTCGTACTTGTAAACTCATTCAACTCATCAGCCAACAAGTGATTCTCTGAACAATGAGAACAAATGCTTACAGAGGACCTGGAACAGAACTGGTCCAATGCAAAAACTGACTGTGGTGCAGAGAATTTGGGTGCAATCAAATCCTGTGGTGAAGCAGTAACTGACACCTGTGCCACTAAGATAAAAAAGTAAGGGCATGTGTCTATATAGTGTTTTATTCTGGCAGGGGACTGAGGAGCGCCTCATCCCAGCGCTTGTGTTTTCTCTCTATGGCAACAGTATCTTGACAACATATCGCCACCATCATTCAGTGTCTGGCCGATCTGCTCCCACAACTTTTCTGTCTCTGTTAAGGCAGTTTCTATCCGACATCATAAAACTCCTCCAAAACAGGATTCTCTTCCATTTTCATTACCAGGGTAACGAGTCTCGCCCCATCTGATTGGCTGTCTGAAGAGGAGCTGCAGTGATGACACTGGTGTCTTTCTGAAGAGTTCAGAGATTTTTAACTAAAAGCTGGGTGCGGCAGTTTCTCCTCCAGGCGGTTGAGTCTTCATTCACTCTCTTCTCAGTGGGAACAATAGAAAAAAGACGATGGCGCTCAGAAGGTTTTTCAAAAGTGGTTGAGTCTGAAAATGCTGCTCTTGCTTTTTAGTGTAGATGGTCCTTGGTGATTAGATGTCTTGGGCATTTAAGACCAACTGTGTTTTCAGAATCAGCTGGCTCACTGTGAACACAGTGCAGGTTAAGTAGTCAGTTTGGAAAAGGGGGGTCAACCTGATCCAGTTCACACTACAGAGCGTCTGTAGAAGGAATTGCAGCCCACGTTAATTACAGGGTAGATCTAAGTCAGATGCTCAGGCGTCACTTCACACTCATTCTCTTCTTTTAGTCGTCTGGCTCAGTTTCATGACTGTTCAGGATTCGTCTCAACTGGAAACAGCTACAAAACTCCTGTAGTCCCACTGTCTACAGACATGCCATCTGCATTACACTTCTCTGTGTGATCCAATATGCGGTCCCCACCAGTGAGCACAGAGGCTGATACTTAATCATTTCCATCTCTTGTAACAGGAAATAGAGCCAGTTGGTGAACTGCTAGATTAGCTTGATTACTGTGGAGTTAAAGCCGTGTGCATGAGTGACGCCGCTCTGGATGGGATTTCGTGTTTTCCTTGGAGCCAGACGTCTTGTTAGGGGAGCGAGGCAGGAATTGGCAGCTGCCGCTGGGAAGATCCATTAATGCCGTCACATGATAGGCCTCGAGAATATGAGCAAGAAACATGCAATCTCTAAAGTGGAGGGAGGTCAACCAAATAATTCATTGCTTCCAGATGAAGCCGCAGATTACAGCTCCTCCTTTAATCCAATGCAACAATATCACCATGTCCTGATACTCTGATGACATCAGTGAAAATGTGGGAAATGTTTTTTATTGGCAATGTAATTTGACTGAGTCTACACATTATATTTACTGAAGGAAAACAGCTTCCACTTAATTACCATCAGTTACTGATGTAACATGGACAAAGTCATATTACATCAAGGGATTTCTAATGAAACTACAATGTTTAGGTTTTTGTAGTACATTAAGTGTAATAAGTTGTACTTGCATCACACTGCATCTTATATGCTCTTTCGTTCGTTTGGCGCCTCACATCTGGTCAGGAGCTTTGGGTATGGAGCGAAAGAATGAGATTACAGATACAAGCATCTGAAATGAGTTTCCTCCTTAGAGATAGGGTGAGGAGCTATGATATCCACAGGGAGCTTGGAGCAGAGCAGCTGCTCTACTGGCAGGAGGCCTCGGGGTAGAACCACAACACCTCGGGATCCCCCAGGAGGAGCTGGAATATGTTGCTGAGGAGAAGGTGATTTGGACCATTTTTTGTGGAGGGAACCAGAGTCATGATAACTACAGAGTTGGTCTACAAAGATACGTCATCCCTGCAGCTCTTGGTGATACTGAGTGGTGTTTGGTCTTTGGCTGAGCAGACAGACACTGGAGGAAGGTGGAAGTGACCAGACATTTTTAGGTCTGAAAATGCATGCTGGGTTCCATAAATCCTCGGGTGGCGCCATAAAAAAACCCCACAGGTCTTATTCTTCTGATGTTTTTGTCAAACAGATTTCTGGCTTATGTGTGTCAGACTCTCATGTTCACATTCATTAGTTGCAAACGGATAAAACATGAGCGTGTTCAAGGAATGCTCTGTTTTAGCGAGTTCATGCACAAAACTTTTAACATGTAGATGTAGCATTCTGGGAAACAGGCAAAATGAAAAGGGTAAAGATCCAAACAAACAGTGGGGAAAGTCCCGCCCCCTCCATCCCCCCTGCTGAGCAGACAGAGACCAAAGAGTCATTCAGTTCTACTGTACTATGACACAGGAGAAATGTCTTCAGCTCATATTAGCAATAAGGTTAAAGATTGAACCAGAACCAGCAGCTGTACACAGAGATCAGCTTCAACCACCAGTAGCTTCCACAAACGACTGTGGTCCAGGACACACATGAATTCACTGAAATGACCATGACTGCCATTAACACGTCACAGTGTTCACTGATCACCTGGCAGCCCAGTAATGTTTAAATATCCTCACGCCCACCTGTCTCTGCCTACGGTTGTTGAGCGTGTGAAGTGAACTGTGGGAGAGGGTGCAATCTGACTCACCGGGTGTAGGCTGTGGGTATTAGCCTGAAATTCCCAACAACCTCTGAGCTGTGGCTGAAACTGGTGAGTTCTGACCAAATGTTTTATTTGAGAATTTTAATGACACCGTCTCACCACCTGCAAATGTTCCACTAAAACAAGTTTCCCTCTGCACCATCACTGCATTCAGCACCGCTGAAGATGATTGTGATTGGTTTAAAGAACAAACAAACCAGCAATAGAATGATACAGGGTGCAGCTGTGGAGAGAGGGCTGAGAGAGCTCCATCACAAAGGTAAGTGACTTGACATCTGTTGACAGCAGCAGCTCACCTGTTGCAGTATGTGACCTTCTCTTAGTGTCATCAGTCTTTTGTGCAGCTCCACCAGCTCATCCAGGTATGCCTGGAAACACACAACAGCGAGGGGTTAGCTGAAACCAGCTGTTAGACACAAGATGATGAACATGCATCTAATCCAGATGTGACCCCCTGGCCGTAACCCTAATACACAGTGCGGAGGTTGTTCCACAAAACTCTTCTTTTCACTGGACTAAAGAGGTTCTGAAGTGTTAACTGTTGTCTAAACAACAACATTTTATAATTGTCTAAAATGGGCAAAATTTCAATTTAAAATGTGGAACTTTCTGATCAAAGACTCAGGAAATAAGATTAATAAATGTACCAGATGTCTTATGTCAACTGGACAGTTTTTGATACCCAGTGTTACGGACACCAAAAAACTACCAACAAAGGATTCAGGTCAAAACCCAGCACATCATACATCAATGCTAAACCAAAGAATTAGACCACATCTTCTTACACTATCTGAACAAAGCAGTCAGCTGTCAGCGGAGGTGGACAGTAAAAAAGTAAATTTATGTGAGCACTGTACTTAAGTATATTTTTCAGTATCTGTACTTTAATGAGTATTATTTTTTTGTAAAATTATCACTTTTACTCCACTACACTTAAAGACAAATATTGTACTTTTGACTCCACTACATCTCTATGAAGTACCTTTACTTTGAAGTCATGTCATGTTCGATGTGATGTGTGTCAGTGTCGTAACGATGGAGACGTTAGATAAAGATGAGGCAGAAGATTCATCATGTATGTGAAGTCTGTGTTTGAAGGTTTATAAATAAAGAAAGATTCATTTAGTTTGAAATGTTTGCTGTGTTTACCACGACCAGACTTCATCAATAAATAAAAATAGAAATATGAAAACAACAAAGGCTCCTTACGTTGATTCAGTTGTGTTTTTATGTCCATGTCAACAGTCTTTGTATCATATCTTACAGTCTTTTTATTTTCCAGGTTCTACAGTCAGACAGTCAGTCAGTCAGTCAGTCAGTCAGTAGGTTGATTCAGAGTCATTAGGTTCTGTAAATGTGTAACAATACAAACATTAAAATCAAGCAGTCCAGTACTTTAACTCCAGTAAAAATGTGACTGAACAACTTTCACTTGTATTGGAGTCATATTTGACCAGGAGGATCTATACTTTGACTCAAGTAAAGTAGTAGTGGACTTTTTACACCTGTGAGTATCAGCACAAATGTTTACCTTTGTCATTTGACTACACAGACAATGTGGTTTATTTCAGAGGATTTCTTTTCTTTTCTGGACAGCCAGTTGTTTATTTTTATGTGCTTATTTATTGTGAAGTTTATTAGATGTGAAAGTGGAGAAAGACAGAACCTGCTGGGAGATGATGACATGCTGGAATCAAACTCTCTCTGCAGTCTCCCCCAAACCATTTTATTTTGTTTGACAGTGTCACATATATATTGTGTTTCATCTTGTCCTAGCTCTTCACTGAGATCACATGATGTGATCCAGTATTCACACCCATGACACCATGTTTCTTATGGCTGCACCTTTCAATCAAATACAGATATTCTAGATGGTTTTATTTCACCTAAATTCAGAGATACCTGCTCACACTGGAAGCTGTGGATTCTCCACTAGAGTTGAAAATAAAGTTTCATATGCAGCATGAGTTTATACTGATGAGTCAGTGGGTGTGAGACGCTAAAACGTTTATGCAACAAGCTTCAAACTCGAGTCATGGTCAAGTATTTTAGAGTCGTTCACAGTGTTAGAGCCGTGCTGTGAGTTGGACTGATGATTCAGGATGAAGCCGTTTAACTTACATTAAAAAACACATCTATCTATTACTATGTCTGAATCATTTCTTCCTTATAATATTTCCTAATCTTTTATTCTGAAATAGAAAAAAAGAAGGTCCTTGTACCTTGTCACAGTCTATGTTCTTATTCTTGTCCTGTTTGCTCTGCTTGGTGGGACTCTTCACCTCCAGTATCTGACAGGGGGCAGAGGAAACAGGGTCACGTACCTGTACACACAGTCAAACACCTTATGGTACATGATGTAATACGACCTTACCTGGTTATTAGTAGTCTTTAATAAGGGCGGGGCCTCGTTGTGGGAGGGGGGTGAGGGCGAGGAGCTGTCACTCTCACTGCCATCACTCAAACTGACCCTGGGTGGGTAACCAAAAAAACACATGGTTCAGTACATCAAAACACACACACTTCATATGCATTACACACATTCATTTCATCCACTGCCAGTACAGAAATATTGATTAGTGCAACTTTAAATACTCAAGGGAAATGTGGGAACTGTTGATAGTCATATTTACATGATCAGCAACATTACATATAACTGACACCTTTCACTAGGTTTCATGTCTAAATAATATAAACAAAAATATCTAAATATTTTTGTGTGTTGTTTCTGAACCAATTCGTCTGACTTCAGTTACTGTCTCTAAACACGGATAAACTCGCTTTGACGCTTCACTTTTTTCACTCTCTCTAGTTCCCTCTGCTCCAGATACAAACACACACACCTCCTTGCCTATGACACACAGGCAGAGGGTTTTCTGGATGGGCGGTGGAGTGTGTCTGTGAGAGGGAGAGGGTGAGAGGAGCGAAACGCCAAAGAGAACTTAATGCCGGTGTCTTAAAACAATTATGTGACAATTTATACTATTTATACTCACAACATCCCAAATGGAACAAATTGCAATACAAATTCTTTACACTGCCCACCTCTATGAAGAGGTCAGTTAGTGAACTGATTGTGACTGTTTTCTGACCTGCGTTGGTGGTGTGTGAGGTGTGTGTGTGCGAGTCGCTCCATGTCAGAGTCCATGTCGTTGTCATCATCGTCCTCTGAATCCTCGTCATTGTCGTCTGAGTGCAGATCCTGCATCACTGACTGCAGCGGGCCCAGAACTGTGTGTGACACAGAACACAACAGACCACACTGGAATAAAGTTTTTATTATTATTATTTCAAATAAAACACTGGTGAGAACATGCATAAAGAAGCAGATCATGCTGTATGGGGGGGGGTGATGGAGGGACGGTGCAGTACAGCTTGTGGGTGCAGGAAACTGGAGGTGAGGAACTGCTGCTGGTTTTATCCCCACTTCATTTTTAAAAGCTGTCATTATTTCATATATATATATATATATATATATATTTATATATATATATACACATATATATATATGTATCATGAAAAGAACAGAACAGTGTTAGTTCATTTCTCAGTATGTTTTGACTTCTCCACCCTGTCAGTGACTCAGCCCAGAACCCATTGGTTCATACTGAAGGTGGAAATCTTAAAAACAGCTCATGAATATATAGTTTCATTTTTTAAAAAGGTTCAGTCGCTTCCTAAAACATATGGTCAGTAGTTTTTGACAAACTATAATCATTGCCTCCGACAAACAGTCCAGCTCCATGTTACAGACTCATGTAAAATATATATAGTGCTGACTTCAAAGGAACATAAAATAAAAGTGCAATTTTTCACTAAATTGAAATGAGTATAAATATTGTCGAGTGAATTTCAATAAAGACTATTATTACTATAAGGGTACTGATGGAGTTCTGGCACACGGTGCAGTGAGGTCTCAAGTTGTGAGGTCACAGTGACCCTGACCTTTGACTACCAAACTCTAATGAGTTGGTCTTTAAGTCCAAGTAAATGCTTGTATAAAATTTGAAGAAATTCCTTTCAGCAGCGGATTAATCCACATTTGTTGCTCTAGTTGAATTTTTGGTATATGTGGGATTGAGTTAAGATAAACTACAGTGTGTGTGTTCATGGTGTAGAAACATGTCACCGAGCACAACAGTGTGGCTCCCTGGTGTGTTTTAATAGCTGTTGGACAATGAAAGCAAGAATAAATATGTTCACATGTCAACGGTGATGGGGCACCAGACCCTGCTGACTTTACTGTAAGGAGATGCATGAATATTCATGCAATCAGGCAAGCATCAAAATGTTATCCATGCACATGTGACCAGGCTGTGGGGGCCTCACAGGTCTCAGTGGAGCATTACCTGTGTGGGTGGTGGCAGGAAGAGCCACCCTCTTCCTGATGATGAAGTCCACCACTGCACCCAGAGAAGATTACAAACACACAGAGGTCACTCTCAGGAAGAGAAGCTCCACAGATGCAACAAGTCCCACATGGGACTCACCTGGTCCTGTTGGACTACTTCAGTCCATTTTCAAAGAGCTTTCTTTTTCTTTTCCACAGTTTTGGACATAATTTCTAACAGCAGTGAAAACATTCACTGCTCAGGTCTGTGGGCTGCAGCCACATCAAAGTGCAACAGTCCAACATGCTTTAAACATATGGCTGTTCATCAAAAGGACATATTTGGAAGTAGAAAAAAAGCTTGAGTCAAAGTCAGATTGTGTTCTGTTGTTCTGTAATATCTAGCTGTCATACAACTTCCTGTCAGGATCATAATATCACTGTTGGCCTTTGTTTTCACTTTCAAGCAGTAAAACAACAAGCATAAAAAAATATACAAACATAAAACAAACATAAAAATATTATGACTTGCTTTGTGAAATGCTGCATCTGTTGCTCATAAAAAAAGTTTCTCAAAATGTTTTTCTTTTGTCTCTTGTCACATAAAATTAAAACTTCATTTAATAATGATTTTTAATGTAAAATTACAACTTAATCTCACAATATAATGGACATTTAGTTTCTTTCCCATAGAATTAAAACTCGATTTCATTATGATGTGAATTTACTCTGGCAACATTTTCAAAATTGTATGATTTAACTCTTAAAATCTCCCTATCAGTGACCCCATTAAAACTTATTCATAACACCTCAGTATTAAAACTGCTCAGTAAAATGTTACCAGAACAAACAAGAAGAGAAAAAGACTTCAGGCTTTTTGTTCAGGTCAGACTTTTGCTCTTGTAAAATCTTGTATTTCCTGCCCTCTGTCTTATAGAAAGGTTATAAAAAGATAATAAAGCTCCATTATGTTCTGATGCTTCATATGAACCACACCTGATAAGTATACAGATGATTTCTGATTGAAATACACAATAAAGATGAGATCTGCTGTAACTTGAGTGTGTTCCAGACACTAACCTTGTCGTTTGTGGTGTGTGGGCACGAAGCCTGAACTGGAGCTGGAACTGGCTGGACTGGGCTGTTCAGACTGGAGGAAGAAGAGAAAACAACAGGTGAGAATATGATACACATTACACACACTCACCACAACCCAATGTTTTGTGCAGATATTTGAAAAGTTGACATTGGACCAATTTCATCTCCTCTGAATTTCTTTCTAGTTAGGAGCAGCTGCATTAGAGAATCTCTCGTTCTTGTCAGATTATTTATCTCATTTACAAGTGAGACCTGAGTACAGAAAATCAAATAAAATCAAATAAAGAAAAATATTAATAGAGTTTAAATTTTTTTTTTAAAGAAAAGATATAATGTAAAACAGTTACACCCTATGTCAGTAAGACTTCTGATCAAATTTTTGAATGCATGTCAAGTTTCAGTCTGCTCTGTAAATTATTCCAGACAAATGGGCCGCGATATCTGAAGGCTGTCCCACCAAGATTTGTATTTATTCATCAAAAGGTCAAAAGGTACAGAGGTGTGGACATTAAAATGAAGTTCACTACGACTTTCAAGGTGCATTCTGGCAGAAAAAACATCCAATTACAGATTAAAACTCTGATGTGCGCCACTAAAGGCGGACAAACACTAACAATTACTGTGATGAGAAAACAAATGTCTCAGTCTGTATCTTTAATGAATTTACTTCTGGAATCTGGGTTAGTTTTGGATTAATTCAATTGTGGTGCCATGTTTTGTTCAATTCATTACCACACTGACTTGTGCCTCCAACTGGCCTCTCCATGGCAACAGCAGCCACGGCTCATGGGTATTGTAGAAAATCATTCATTAGATTTCAAACATGAAATAATCAAATGTGGGTGCACAGCATAAACCTGACTGGTACATTGCCCAGGAGCTTCCTCTGTTTCTAGATTACATGACATGGAGAGTATTGTTTTACCTTTGTATATCTTCAAGGACATTTTTGTCCTTTTCATTTTTGATTTTGGAATTTCAAGCTCAGATCAACACTCAGCACTGAGAGGACAAAAACGTTGTTCAAAACCCATTTAAACTGCAATCTTTGATCCCTCTGCCATTACAGCATAAAATCAATCATTCTATTTGATTAGGCTTTTATTCTGAAGTCTTGGCTAGAAAATTGGAGGTTTTAACCATTGTACCAGATGAAGTCGGATTTGTCCTATGAAGTAAATAGCTGTCATTTTCCTGGTGTCCACAAGGGGCACTGCTGCTCTGTTATGGAGCACTGTACATAACTGGAATAAATACATCTGGATGTGTTGTATGGATATCAATGTGGAGTGTATGTCTGTATTGGCCAATTTGTGTGCGTGTATGCGTGTGTGTGTCATATACACTTTCACCCACTCACACATACATGCACGTGCATGCGCTGGCCTTCAAACTCAATTGAACATTATTCATTATACTTCATAGGTGCAGTACATTTCTGTATATGAGTTATAGTGAGCTTTTTAGGGTGTGTGTGTGTGTGTGTGTGTGTGTGTGTAATGAAGGTCTGTGCATATTTGTAGTGTGTACTTCTGTGCCTACATGCAAGTGTATGTGATTGCATGTCAATATAAGAAAAGAGCAAGTGGTTCTCATGGCGTCATTTCTCATGATAATCCACAAAAAAAAAAATCTTCTTAGCATTTAGTAAATGAAAATTAATTCAACAAACTGGAACTTAAAGGGCTAATATCCTGGAAATGAGTTTTTGGTTGTTATGATCAATGCTGATGTTGGTTAAAAAAGCAATTATGTGAAAGTGGAAAATAATATGAATATATAATATTTTTATCGGCAGTTTTTAGATGCAGACATTTTTGTTCTCAAAGGAGTTCAGTTTAATGTTTTAACAGGATGCACAAGGGTTGAGGAAATGGGAAAATATAGTATGAATGCAAACACTTCCTGAACTAGCTCCTCCACCCACTTTACAGTAACCAGCAAAGTCTGAATGCACCAGACTGAGCTTCATAGTTAAACAGACACTCTCAGGGACACCACCAGCTTGTCAGCCATGTTTGTTCTATGCACTGATCCCAGGTGAGCACACGTCTGAGAACGGGCAGAACTCCAGGTGCTCAGCCGATTCTTTTTACCACATTCCTCACATTTGTGTTTCTGCCAGTGTGTGTGTTCACTGCTGAGCCGCTGCCTGCTGGTGAACAAGAGCTGGAAGAAGAGCTTAAACAAAGCTGTTGGTGCAAGGTGAACGTATCCAAACAAGCCACATGGTCTCATCAAGAAGAGAATTGTGCCTAATAAAAAAAATAAATTGTATCAGACTTCCTCTCAGACATTTGGAGGACACTCGGCCACTGTGCTGTATTGCTGGAGGTCAGAGAGAAGTAAAACCTCCACCACATTTAGTTCATTCCATTTAGAGACAGTTGAGGAAGCCATCAGACTTCATCATAATTTAGCTTCCTCCTTTAAGAAATCTGATGGGGCCAACTCTTCCTGAGTACAAAGCAATGTTTTTTACAGGCCCATGAGAAATGCTGCTTAACTGCAGAGGCAGACAGCCTGTCCTCTGAACACACTGGTTCTAAAGCCCCAAATTGTTGATGATGCAAATAAATGACAAGTAAATGCATTTTAGGCATCAACATTAGAGATGCAAATGCAAGTTACACAAACATTTTGTAACCTTTCTTTAATGGACAATTCAACTATATGTTCATAATAAAACATCAACTATTAACTATTAAAGGTCCACATAGTATAAAGGTAGATGTCCATGTGTTGTTTGATTATAAAGCAGGTCTAGGTTCTATATTAATACTGTGAAAGTATCAAAGCCTCAGTCCACAGAGAAATGCACACAGCCTGTATTCAGAAACTGAGCCTTAAAACCTGCTGTCAGGACTTCTGTAACTTTGTGATGTCACAACAAAGCAGTCACTTCAGCCACACCCCAAGCCCCTGCCCACCTGGACCCACCATCCAACACTTGCAGGATTTGGTTTCTCTGAGTGTTAACCTGAAATCTGCTATATCTTTATTGGATCACTCAGAAAAAAGTCTCAGAGACTCCTCTCTTCTGATTGGCTCACCGACCTGTTGTTACTAGAGCTCCAGAGAGAAGCCTGAAAGAGGACATGTAAAACTACATTGAGAAATATGGAGCTTTAAAAGACTAGGCCAAATGTATTCTCTCTCTCTCTGAACAAGGGTAAATGTTTCTCTGCGGATTTTTTATACTTTCACAGTATTTATTTTGCACCTCAACCTGCTTTATAATCAAAAAACATGTGGAAATCTTTTTCCACAGTATGGAAAGAATTGAATATGAAGTCAGCAGCTGCGTAGCCTGCTCTAAACTGGCCAGTTCTAATCACTTTGATACCAAGTCATTTGTCACAAGCCATTTTGACACCTTTGTCAAAAGTTTTTAAATTTGTGGATACCTAATAAATTGCAAAGAGGATGCGGTAACAGTGCTCAGGGGAAGACAGTGCTTGGCTGCAAATTAGATGGACACATCTTAATAGTAAGATGTGCTCATCTGGCCCCTGATTTGTTCACTGATCTGAAGAACCTTGAAATTGAATGTAACTCACTGCCTCGACTCCAAGCTTTAAGCATTGTGGTTTGGTATAACAAGACAGGGTTTATTACAGATTGTGTTTCTGTTGGGTAGTTCAAATCCAAAAGCTCTGGAATCAGGGGAAGGTCAACAACTAATCAAGTGCAGGATTTTCTGTCAACTTGCATTTTCTGAATTTACTTTCTGCTTAAAATCATGTTGACAGAACCGAACAATGAGGCAGACTGCAGCACCCTGACAGAGTTCAGTGGAGTTATGTTGCTTTAGTAAAAAGTATTTGGGCACATTTTGGATGTATTAAATGTAAAGGGCCAAATTTGATGCATAAGAAGATATATTTGTGGTTTTAAGAACCAAAAACCATCTCAATGTAGTTTTACATCTCCTCTCTCAGGAAGAGAGGAGGCTCTTCTGATTGGCTGACTGTTTTCTGAGTGATCCAATAAAAATATAAGATTTCAGGTAAACACTCAGAGAAACCAAATCCTGCGTGGGTGGGGTTTGGAGCGTGGCTGACATTTGTTGTGACAACACAAAGTTCCAGAAGTCCTAACGGCTGGTTTTAAGGCTCAGTGTCTGAATACAGGCTGTGTGCATTTCTCTGTGGACTGAGTTCTTTGATACTTTCACAGTATTAATATAGAACCTAGCCCTGATCTATAATCAAACAACACATGGACATCTACCTTTAGACTGTATGGAGCTTTAATAACTAGCCTTTCAGATGAAGGTGACGTAATGTATGAATATTAACCACACCATCACCCAGAGACAAATCTAAACCAAACTAAAACACTAACTAATGAGCTGAGCAATCAACAGACATTCAGCCAGTTTACAAAACCTCCAGTCAGTTCTGGTTGGGTGAAGAAAATGACTCGATCCACAGTGTTGTGGTTAATGATGGAGTGTAGAGGGTTTTCTCCACTGCTGGTGACACAACATCAGTAACAGCACCGCACTCTCTCCAGAACAAAGACATTTATCCAGTAGTGGTGGTAGTAAAATAATAATAGTAAATCACACTTTGATTTCATTGTTCTCTGTGACATGCTGCCAAACTACAGCAGTTAGCTTTTCATAAAAATGAATGAATGAATGAATGAATGGATGAATAAACTGTGTTTTGTAAGACCCATCCCTCGTGGAACTATTCTGGTACATAAACCCACCAGCATCCAACAGCACAATATATTAACCTCATACAAATTTGAACAACTGACAAATAATGTCCCAGTTGCCAATATTCATATATTGCAGTAACCCTAACCCCTGACCCTTCACACTTCACATAATTTTTCTTAAGCAATAAGTTTTCAATTTTGGACTTTGTCACATTTCTCCTGCTGATTGTTTTTATGCTTTTAGCCCTGACCTCCTCCACCTCTGGGCTAGAGAATCAGATCAGTGTCAATGTGTCTGTTTGAGAGGACTGACACAAAATGCACTTCTTGTTATGCAAACCCAAATTCATGAAGGAGTACGCTGCTGCAAACCAGAGCTTCCTGAAAAAACAATTTGGGGAGAAACGAGCGACAGAAGAAACATGAGAGAAAAAGAGGACAAGGGAGGACAAAAGGCAGAAGGACTTCAATGGACGTCACCTCCTGCCAACAAACAACTCACAGCTGGTCTGTTGGTTTATGGGACAGCTTCTTCAGAGTGCCATAAATCTTACCAGCACTCCTTTTTAGGGCTTTTGTCTTGCTTTACTCAAAGCCACCAAAGCAGCCCTCTTCAAAGACAATAAATAGTCTTTAGCTGCAGTTTACTGGCATCAATCTAGCCTCTTCTCCTGGCACAGTTGGGATGGCCCAAAAGAAATGCCAGCAAACAAGACTGCTGACCAAGACTATTTGGTTTCTCCTGTCTAATTCAGCGGGGGCTGTCCAAACAAAACTATTTTAATGCGAATGAAGAAGCTTTTCAGTTTGACACTCGATTCAAACAAAGCCATTTACACTGAAATGTTGTGGTTTGCAACACAAACGTACTTTAAACTTCTGATCTTTTTCACTCTTGCTGCAGTAACACGGCGACGCGTGGTGGAACATTTAAAGTTGTAATATTCTTCTGAAAAATTTCATCTACTTTACTCAGACCGACTGTGTCAGGTGGGTTTTTGTCGTTACTGCCCAAAGAATATAAAATAAAAAAGAAAACTTTTTACTGGATAGAACCATTCAAGTTATTTCACAAACCGAGTGCTAAATCTTAAACTCACTTTGCTTTATAACCAACCTTTAGCTGTATTATTGACAGTATTAAAAAAAATCATCCCTTTTGTGTCACACAAGACTCATGAAAATACTTCAACCCATCTAAACTACAGGCCTCTGTGATCAAACTTGTACAGGTGACTCCTCTGCTAAAAACAAGGTTTCCATGCTAACACGCAGCAGCCTGCTTTCCCTTCATGTCATCACCTACTCCACATTTCCTCCTCTCTGCTGTTTCTGGCCCCAGCACTCAGAGGAAAACACTGAGATCAAACAAGTGGTCACATGAGAAATGAGAGCAGCGCGCTCCTACGGTCCGGCGCTCGGCCACCGGGGTTGCTTGCCTGAGGAGAATAAAACACCTGGCATTTGTCACCCCACATCCCCTTTACAGCCCCCAGTCCCTGTGTGAGAAAACTTAAAAGGCATTTACATACAGCACAGACAAAAACACAGGTTCTGCTAGTGCTAAGTAATAACTCCCCTGCCTAAATATGCTGCCCCTGTCAAAAGATACACAAAGACTTGCGCTTTAAAGAAGCTCAGAGAATAGAAATGAAAACACTGTTGCATAAAAGAAAAGTGCTGGAAGCATGGGGATTTAGACCTTTCTTTGACGAACGCGCAGCCTTTTTCTTCTTTGAAAAGTTAAAAGGATTAAAGGGGAACTCTGTGCTATTGACTGCCACGTCTCCCCTTTCTCCTCAGGTGTTGTAAAACCATAAATCTTTCTTGTCTACTACTTGGCTTTAAAGCAGCCATTCTTTATGGGGAGGTTCTCCACCAAATGTGCGTGGACCAGGCAACCCAGTTAAATGTCAGCCTATTCATGAAAAGCACCAATGTAGACAGGAAGTTTTCCAATCCTGCTCTTGAGCTGAAGCCAGGGGGTCAGCACATTTTTATGTCTATAATCAATAATTTCACAATACAAACATATTTAAAATGTATAAAAATCTGTCAATTGTTGTCAATAAGATAACAAAACCGCATCTCTTAAGTGTATCTTGTTGTGTTCACTTCTTGTTTGGCCACCCAGACGCATGCAACTGAACTCCCACCAGGTTTATTGGTGCCCACCCCTTCTTGCAATTTCTCTGCCTAGCCCCCTGGAGTCCACCAGACCACCACTAAAGAAGATTCTCTCCCTGCAGGTCATTTGATTTTACAGCCCTTCAATACAGAATAAGAACTGACCACCAACAAATACTCCTCCCGGAAAGTTCTGGAGAACTGGACACCTTTCCTCTCCTGATCCCCCTTCAACTTTTTTCCCAGTAAAGTGGCCTGAAAACAACAATCACGCAGTCCGACATGGTGGACTCAGCTGTTTCCTCCACGATAATACAAAAAAAAGAAAAAATATGGGTTTCCTTCGTATAGTTACTTCATCAATCAAATCACTTTACTCTTCAGACAGACCAACAACACTCATTCTCTTTTGTCTTTGCTGTACTTACATCTGATTTGGTGGACTGGTCCTCCATATCAGAGTCATTGGGATCCACCAGTTGCTGGAATGGAGGAAGTTTTGACACCTTCCTGCGCTCAGTCTCGTCACCATCTGGTCGTAATTTATTTGTTCGAATTTGCGATCTATCCTTCAACAGTTTATTATCTGAATGTTGAGCATCTGAACCCGACAGCTGCTTCCCTGATGAATCTACAAATCCCTTTTTACGTTTTTTGGCCGCATGATCGTCGCCATCAGGGGCGGACAGACGCTTGTTGAGCCCTGACCCGTGGGTGATCCCCTCAGTCCGATGCTCCTTGGACAAAGACTTGGGTTCCTTGAAGCCCATCTTAGGATTGATATCTCTAAGTGGCTGGTTCTCTTTGGGTTTCCTGGAAGGTTCTTTGGGGGCTTTGCTGGTTTCCCAGCCAGAGTCTCTGAAGGCACTTTTGGGTTCTTTCAAGTCTTTTGGGGGTTTGTCTTTATGGTCCTTGGAAGGTTTGTGGAGTTTGGAGAAGCTGCTGCTGTTGGTGCTGGTGGTTGTGGCGGTGGTGAGGAGGGTGGTGCCACTTCCTTTGGAGCCATCCTGTGGATTAAAGCCAACAAATGAATAAGGTCCTGCACAATGTAAGACATGTCCTAAAGAAGAATGAAGAACTCAACAATAAACAGGCTTAGATTACCTGGTACCTGACAGAATAAAGTTCTAACTTATTTCTAACTCTTTAACCAACACTTAGGATGTTCAAGCAGAATTACATTGAACCATATAAGCTACAAAAGCAAAAAACTTCAGCTCAAAGGGTTATGGCACAAGGAACTTTAGGTCAATGAGCAATCATAATAGGGTAAGAGCATGATTATCCTCTGTGAAACACAGTTGTGTGAGGATGCTATGGGCTGATAATAACTGATATATAAAAGTGAAGTGCCACTGAAAATTAGATATTTCAAGCAGTGTTCAAATCCTACTTTACAGCAGGAAAAATGTATCTTCTGACTATGTTGTCCTCTTGCTGTTTGTGTTGTGTTGGACTACATGTACAACTTTTAAAACGCATGGTCCCAAATGACAAAGTGAGCAAAAACCAGGCAGCTAGGTCAAAGGAAGATTAATCCTCTGCCTTTTACACAAGAGAAAACATGCATGCCACCCTGCAGTTTGGCATTACCATCTGTGAAAAGAGGTCCATTCTTAAGAGAAGCTCAAAAGGGTCTTCTTAGTCCCCATCTATAGGCTTAAACAGCAAACTCAGGGCTTCTTTTGAGCAGTGCTGTTCAGTGGGGTGAAGGGGCCTTTTCAACAGCCACACATGTGCAACCTTAAAAGTGGAGCGAAGGGCAATGTGGAGAGAGGAGGAAATGCATTCGTTCTAACAACGGGGGCCATTTGTCCCCGGGTCTCACCTCAAGCCCCCTTGTCAATATTTCATCAATGCAGTAAACCCATTAAAGCAGTCTAGACGATGGGGTGTGTTACAACTCTGCCCAACCACCACTAAAACCTTTCATTTTGTCTATCTGCTGGTGACCCCGGGACCCCAGGATATAAAGCTGCCGGCTCACTCTAACCTCCAGCGTGCTCCTCCACTGCAGTAAACCCATTTCCCTCCCAGAGCAGCCTGACATAAAACTGCCTCAGTGCTGTGGAATGGACACACAGTCTCTGCAGCCATCAACATTGAGGACATCACTAAAATGGCACTTTTCAACAAACCTTTCAGCACCATGACACCAGCAGGTTAGCAGGTGATGTAAATCTCTGAAGGGCCTATAATAATAACAGTTAGGCATGTCAATTTTAATAATTACCTCCTTTGTAATTAATTAATTGTATATCCAATCACATATGTAAATATTTGCCATGAGAAGTTAAATAGTGCACCAAATAATTCCTTTCTTTGCAATATCAAAACCATGTAAACTGCGTGAGTTCCTGTCAGAAAGAGTCAGCACAAGATCACCTGCCGACTCCTCATCTGACCTATCTGAGCGAGAGCTAAAGCACTTACAGACCGGACACAGCTTGATGACATCCTGTATCACAGTGTCAAGGGTGTTTAAGTGTGATTAATCTGCGTTCATTTTTTTAAGCATTATTTTTCTATAATTAATAAAAATGAACACATAATTTTGACAACCCTAATAATAATAATACAATAGTTGTAATAGTTCCAACTGAGAGCACAAACAACTACTGAATTTTACATTCTAGGTACGTATTCTACAAGAGAACTGAATTATGTAATGTACCCTTTCTAATATATTTAATTATGATTTATTATAGAATTATCTATTATCATATCACACAACTTTTTTTAGTACCTTTCACAGAATATAAAAAAAATGCCTCAGGATATATAATGCTATGCAATATCTATCTAATATATATAATTTTTTTTTTTACTTCTATGTTATTAATTTTTTTATTATTCCAGCTCATTTTACATTCATGTTTTTATGTTCATTTAATATGTTTTCATATGAAGCGGTTAGTGCAAGTCAGTTCTTAGTTGTAAAGCAATTTGGGCTGCATTTCTGGTATGAGAGGTGCTGTACAAATAAAGTTTATTATTTTTCTTATTATATTTGTTAAATTAATTTTACCTGGACCCCCTCATAAAATGGATGGGTTTAGCAATAAAAAACGATTGTTTTTAATTCAAGTTTTTGCTTAACTGACATTCTCCCATGCTGATCAGCAACTATAGCAGCAGAGGTGACTGAAATGACTGAAACAATCCACTATTACAAGAATCCCACTCTTAGTTGCAGGATGTGAGGAAAGATTATAGGTTTTTGAAATATGTACAGAAAATCTCATTACAAAGATCACTGTGAACCATTTAAGACTTTTATAAAACCTTTTTATAGTTTTTGAGGATACTGAATTGAATTCTTAAGAAATATCACATATTTTTTTATTTTATATTATATATTTTGCCTCTATAATATATATTTTTCTATTTCTATCTTCTATATATATATATATTTACTATCTCATTCTCTGTATACATTTCATACGTCAATATTGTAGTGAATATTACATATATTGTAAGACATTTACATTACATTTACAATACATTACATACATTTATCATATATCAACATTATTATTCAAATTTTTATACCTATATCCTATATTATATTACTATATTATATCTATATCAGTAATAATACTACTACCACTATTCTACCTAATGCAGTGCTGCACTTAATATTTCTGTACATCAACATTTACACAAAGATTTGTACAGTTCATATAGTGTGGGGTATTTTAATGTATATAATACAGTTTTTGAATGTAAGTTTTTTCATTGTTTCAGTCTTTTCTATTTTATGTATTTCATACACCTCTATTCCATGTGATGCTGGAACGTGAATCTCACCCCTGTCAACTTATCTGAACTTATTTTAAATTCACAGTTTAAATTTTGTTTTTCAGGTGTGGCAGTGTAATAATGAGACTTTGATAAATAATTGGCTAAAACTATAGTATTTAGAAGTTTTTGTCAAATAATAATATGATTTATTACAAAATATCAATATCAAATGTTTCTAGAGCGATAATTTTTAACATGTGATGTAAAGAGAGGGAGGGTGGGAGGGAGGGAGGGAGGGAGGGGTGTATGACACAGAATGTATGTGACCTCCTGCTCCACCAGTAATTCATCACACACACTGTGTTTAGACTGGAAACCTTTTCCATGTGAAATGGGCCTCTCCTGCCCCGGCTCCTAAATGACACCATTTAGAGGGACTAAAAATAACACTGAATGGAAACAACATGCCACTTTATTGACACACATGATTTAGTGTTGCACGAGATAATATCTTCAATCTCACATGTAACTGCTGGGCCCATCAACTCCCTCCCACCGTTCTCTTCAATAATTCTGAGTCACTTAAGATTATTGTCTACAAATTTGATGCATATGAGACTTTAGAACACATTAGAGAAAACGAGGGGCATCTTCACACCCACAGGTCTTCAGATTCACAGCACTTCTCTGAGTCAGTGGAGTCAGTGCTTATGGCTGAGCAACAGCTAAGATATAGTTTGCTTAAGACAAAGTTGGATGCCTTTGAAATCCCAGAGTTTAAATATGTTGGACGTCTTTGAACGTGCCAAATATGTGGGGGACTAGGGCCTGGAGACTTTGAAGGGGTCACAGAGTGTGAGAGCTGGGTGGGGCCTGGTGGCAGAAGAGCAGCAGAGGCAGAAGAGAAGGTTGTTTAGCTCCAGGCAGGACCTGGAAACAACACTGACCTTTGACCCAAGGAAGCTTTTGCTCTTCTTTGGGTCGGAGAACGTGGATGTGAGCGAGCTGTTGGGAAGTGTGGGCAGCTTCAGGTGCTGGCCAAACAGTGAGGTGGAGCCTTCCTGCATCACCATCACCTGCCACAGGAACAGCAACAAACCAAGGTTACTACAGGTTCCTCTGATTAAAATGAGTTCAAGAGAAGAGCTGGGTGTCATACTTTTAGGTAGGGGTGTGTAGCAGCAGGTATCAAACCTCTAAGGTCAGCTCTGTTCCTAATCCTGTTAACTTACTCTCTGGCCATTTATCAATAATAATTTGAAAGGAAATTGTTCACCACTGGGACTCCTAGTCATAATTAGAGGCAGTAGTGAAAACCAACACCAGCTCATTTTATAAACTGATACTGAACTAAATATTTATTACAACAACAACAACAACAACAACAACATATCATCTGCATATAAGGCAATTTTGGTTTTGAGTGTATTAATGGTTCGTTAATGAGTCAAGATGTGGTTAACCTAGCTTAGCATAAAGACTGGTGGCAGGGGGAAATGGCTAGCCTCACATATCTCCCTTTTTTAACAAACAGAAATATAACACTACGCCCAGCTGTTGTTTTCCTGGCAATAGTTAGAACCATAACCACAAACTGTCCTTTTACATTTTTAATTTGGCATGGATTAAACAAACAACATGTTAATTGGTTAGCATTAGGAGTGTTTGCATGTTTTCTTATTCTCCAGCTTTTAGTCTTAATGTTAAGCTAGGCTAACCATGTACTGACTTGGAGAGAAAGTGAAAAAGCATTTTTCTTCTAAAATACATTTAGTATTAATTAACCAATTACCTCCTCTTCAACCACGAGGTATGGTCACAACTTCCCTTTCCTGAGTTAGTGTTGAATAATGGCCAGAGGTGTTTTTGCAGAACGTTATGATGTCACAGTGAAGTTGACCTTTGACCTTTTGGATATAAAATGTCATCACTTCAACATTTTATCCTGTTACACATTTGTGTCAAATTGACCTGTGGTGGTCCAGTATGAAGGGGTGGTTTTTACTACACTTCAGAGTAATGAATTGGTGATGAATTATGAATTAATTGTCATTTTCAACGTGAGGATTAAACACACTCAAAAGTCTAAAACTGCCTGTTTCTACTGGAGTATCCTGCAGTAATTACAGGGTCAGAACAATGGCCAGAATAAGTGAACACATCAGAGCTGCTTCCATGGTGAGGAACATGACAGTAAATGTCCAAGGATAAAAACTCTGGTACCGTCACCTGAACAGAAATCTGAATCTGCATCCATGACTTCAAATGCATGTTGGAAATCTTACTTTTGAGTCTTCTGAACTTCGTTTATGAGGATCCCGCTGCTGTGAAAGAAACAACATGGAGGGGCAGATATTTATCATCTGCAGTTTGATTGTATAAAACAAAAGGTACAAAGAAATGAAACACAGCTAAATACTAGTTTATTATTGTCTCTGTGGTAAAGTAATTTAGAATGTAATCTACTAGGACCAGAGACTCTCAGTGATGACTCTGCAGCAGACAATGGAGAATTTGAGTTGTGTTATGGTCTATATCAGCACTTGAGGGGGGTGAAGGGCAAAGTAAATAGAGAGCACTTAGCTCTAGTCATAAAACCCACAGACTACAGGGGCTCTCTGGCCAGGGACCAACTGACTGACTGCATCTGACACTGAGGAAGCAGCTGAAGGTCTGATGCAAGTTTATCACAGCTGTAACAAGTACAGAGAGTTTTACTGAGGAGATGAGGTAAATGTATTCTGTACTGTTTCATAAAACAATACTAAAGCCATAGAATTACATCATCTCTATGTTCAAACAAACTATACTGCAGAATTATTTCTCACATAAACTGATGAACACTGGTCAAACAATAAAGCAGCCTGTTTGGAGCAGGAGAACAGATAAGACCAGTGGTTAGGTTGCACCTCCTCTACTCTAACAACATGACATAATCTACAGCTGCTAAGAGCCAAACAGGAATTTTACTCCATGGAAACATTTTTACTGCTGACAGAAAAACATGTGATTGTGCCATTAATACACTGACAGTGAGCTCATTTATAAAATTGCAATGATTAATTAAAAGGTGATTTTCATGGAAATACCAAACCAACAATGAAAATATCCCACTAACAAATTACTTATGACTTATTCCTCTCAGTGCCACTGAGCTCTACAAACTATTAAAAACACATAAATGAGCCACACTGTTGCACTATTGTGATACAGTCCCCAACAAGCGCATAATTTCCCCCTGAACGGCTGTTTTAGGAAATTCCTGAACCTTTTCTTTTTTTTTCAGATGAGACTAGATTTCAGATGCTGTTTTTAAAGTTTTATGTCATTAGGTCATTATGATATTATGTCATCAGTAGGAACCAAATAACTTGGAGTTGAGTGCCATAGAGCAGAGAAGACAGGAAGTGCTGAGAAACAGATGTACACATCACTGGTTTGGATTTTCTGTCGCCAATAGGATAAAAACATAATCGTACATGAATGACTGTTGTTAAGGGATCCTTAGTGAGTCATCTGATCTCAGTGAGCATCAGTTTGAGGCAGCAGATTTACTGAACAACAGTAAAACTATATGAACCTGCACAAGAGAGTTTCTGAACTCCATTGGTTTTCCTCGGAAAAATAGAGATGAAAGTTTTTTCCACAGTAGCAAATGTCTGTGTTGCATTAAGAGATGTCACTCAAGCCCCAGCCACCCCTCGCACTCCTACCCCTCCAGCTTTCAGTAGCTTCCTACGAAACTCCTCCGTTGGGTTGTTGAAGGTGAGCTTCTCACAGCGGAGATGATTGACAGGTGGGTGGCCCTCCAGGTGGAGGAACAGGTCGTAGTCAAAGCGAACTTTCTTCGGTTCTTCCTGAGGAAAAGTGGTGATCATAGGCATAGAGGAGAGCAGTCAGATTCAAACTGTGTCACATGAAGGATCAGATCCAAACTACCATGTTGTACCACACAGGTGAACTGGTTTCTGACAGTAACTTCCTCTGGTTCTTCATAATGACAGGAAGCTGATGAATCAATATGAGCTGAAGATCCCTCAGATTAAAAATGTGTTAAGTAAACATTTTCAAACTGACAGAGTTACACTAAATGTCACATGTTCCTCTATTTTGAAAAAAATGTTCTGCATATTCGACTCATCCAAAACTAAAGACCAGACCAGGTCCCTAAAAGTCTGATGGTGCTGTAAACCTGCAGCACATGGTGATACATGAACCAACAATCATAAAGAAATATGATATTGCTTCTCCAAGCTTGTGGCCCATTCACAATTCTGATTAGTTTTTTTCTACAAAATGCAACAAAACTAAAACATGACTGAAAACAGTATTTCATTTTAGGACCGTCAGCACCAGGTTAATCTCATGGTGATGAGACGTTAGCCTGACATCCGCAGACAGCTGCTAATTAGCATTAACTACATGGTAGTAGAAACCAAACACTGATCAGTGACTTCACTAAGGATAAATGTGTGGTCAATAAACAGCTTTAGATTCCTTCACCAGGCTGTTCCTCTCAGATGTGAGAGTCAGACTCGGCTTCAGACAGACAGTGGCACCTGGAGTCACCATGGTCCCAGAGGAGGACTTGTGACAGCTAATGTAAGCCCACTTGTATTTGAAACATGTAAACTCAATTTTACACATTGTGCAAAAAGAAATGAATTAATTCAATATATACTGTATATTCCAGCTCTTCCACAGCAGAAACATTACAGGGAGAGTGTCCATGGTTATAAAAAGTAAAATCTACGACTAATGACTAATTTATATAATCTGACCAAATATATTGTCATATAGTCAACAGTCACAAAACATTTTTCAAAAAATATGGCATCAAAAACAGACTGTTGACACTGAATAGATAATCAGAATTATAGTATTATACTTCAACCTTACTGTGCAAAAACAATGGGAATTCCAAATTCTGAAGCATCCAATCCAAACACTCCAGTGCTTCCCAAGGTACTCTCTTTCCCTAAACGCCTCACATGCAGACTAATGCAGACATGCAGCATAATGTATTTGTCTCTTATTTTGTGTATTTTATATTCGTAGTAGTGTATTGTGACTTGCAATGTTTTTTGTTTTGTTACCTGCCCAGGTACTACGGATGTAAATTTGCATTCTTGCTACAATCCGACAAGTTTACATTGTGTATTTTGTACCGATTCATTAACAACCTTTCAATTAAAAAAACAAATAAATTAAATAAATATGTATAAATAAATCAGCAGATGCTAAAATTTACTGATTGTAATAAACACCTCACATGTATGCATGTGCAATTTATTTATTTATTTATTCATTACAGTTTTGCTCAGTCTGACCTGCTACTGAGTCAGCCCTTCATTTCACTGCTTTGCTTACTGTACATTGAACCTTGACATTTGACAAATAAAACTGAATTACTGTTTAGTGGCAGCATCACTTAACATAATATACAATTAATTAATAATATCCAAAAAAATCCTCCCACAAAATATCTTATATTCTAATATTTAGGCTGGACTGTATCGAGATGTTCCATTTTGGATATTACCCAAGTCTAATAGGCAGGCGCTACAATTTACTGATTGTTTCTAAACTATGGTGGCCCTGCACTGCAACTTAAGGAGACACTAAAAAATGATGAAACTGCTAGAACGCACTTGTTGTTCAACGGTATTAACTTCAAAAGGTCACAAAGCATTGACCAAAAAGTACGTCCCAGCAGGTTCATCACTTTTTAGTGTCCCCCTTGTGTTGTGAGTATTTGCACCTCATGCATTGTCAAACTGATTAAGATGTTTTTGCATGTGTTTTGTTAAGTTGCAGTGCGTTGAGCTCTCAGGGCCACCATAGTGAACACCTCACATGCAGGCTCTCGGTAGATGCTAGCTAGGCTCACCTCAGTTACTTCAGCGCAGCAACGCAGACAGTTGTGTGACCAAAAATTAGGTCATTTAGAAAACGTGAAATGATGTGTAAGGCTGAAACCGAGTGATTTTATTCTACAAAATAGAGCCTGTGAATGGGAAACGCTGCATGAGCAGTTACAATGAATGACACTTAACAACATCTGTGTCACTGGCTTCAGTCTAACAATGAAGAACTACAAAAATATACTTCTGGAGTTAGTTTTGAAAGGATGTAGATCCACATGTTTACATTTTGCAAATATTTTCCAAAAATTTTAGTTTCGGGTAGTAAAGTTTTAAAAACAGGATCTGGGGTAAAGGCCTACAGCCTCCTCACTCAAAAGCCTCGTTAGCATAAAACCTTCAAACAACCAAAACAAACCTGGTGGAACAAGCAGACTGAGATTTAAAGAAACAGACAGTGGAAGGGGAAGAGGGAATCCAGTGTTTAATATGTAAAACACAATTTAGATTTCTGGTGAGAGAGACTGGAACATGTACCTTGTTTTTGAAGTAAACTTCAATAGGCAAGATGAAGCCTGCGTATCCAGACTCCTCCACTTTGTATGGTGGATCCTTGCAAACTGAAATGAAAGAGAGGTTTACCATTACAGACAGGTCATTCACCTTCAACACAAGGTGACTCACAAAACAGAGACTGGTTAAAATTCATTTAGTTCTGTAAAATGCAAAGCCAATCACTGTGGAGTGCTCAGCAATGACCTGTGTGTGTGTGTTGTGATGGAACAACAGTCTGAAACATTTTCATAATTATCACATAATCACAGGATCGAGACACAGAAACCAGTTGAACTGTCTTGTCACTGAATTTCCTGCAGCTCCAATCTCACGAGATCTCATTAACATCCATTTCCACTGCCTGTGCTGATGTATCAATACAAAGAAATGTGCTTTAAATTAGAACCAGGGCCTTTAAAGCTCATGAATCCGCCCAGCTGATGACAAGGTGAAGACTTCCTCCCTCGCCCTCATGGGCTTTTAAAGACAAACAAGCTTTTCACTAGAGCTCAGGTGTTCCTCCCTGGAGGTGTGTGTTTGTCAGCCCCAGTCCCTGTGGACTCTGCACAACAAACACCAATTAAGTCCACATAGGTAGAGACCTGAGTGTGTTTACTGGAGGAGCAACAGATGAAGGCTTAGCTTTATTTTCAGATGTTACTTTAGTAAGCGCCTGAAAGCAGAAAGTAACAACAGTTACATCAGTAATCACATTTAATGTGATTCCATGAATGGAAGTATTAAGATGTCATCAGTTTGTAGTAACTAGAATGAAAAGTGAAAATTGTTCTGGTATCTCTGTCAAGTTCCTTCCAGTGGGAAAAAGAAGTTGAAAATGCTTTGGATTCATAAAAACCTTTTCCTCAAAATGCACTGCTTTGTAAAAGAGGATAAGAAGTCATGATGTCAGATGAGTCTGATTTTAAATATCCGACGTGAATGGATCAATGGTGCTGAACCATAGGTCCATCACAGATTGTTTGCAAAAATTACACAAGGATGTGCAAACAGAGCATCGTATCCAGAAACTCTGGTGTCACACCTGAAAAATATGATAAATTGCATATTTGGATCCACATAAGAGTTTCATACACAGTGACAATACAAATGAACATCACATATAAAGTAGGGCTGCACAATTAATTTAAATATTTTCAAAATCGCAATATGGCCAAGTGAAATATCCAAATCACAGGAGCTGCAGTTTTTCTGACAAAGGTGAAATGTCGCACAACATTATTATGCATCGTTAACACCATAAGTGCCTTCTCCAGACGTAAGGAACATTTTTGTTTGGTACAAGACCAACAAAAATCACATCATCATCATTTTTACATTTTTTTCAGAAATGCAAAAACAATCATTCCAACTGAAATCGAGATTAATATCACAATATCTGCCAAAATAACCGCAATATAATTTTTTTTTGCATATCGTTCATCCTTAATATAAACTCACATCTACACTGGTAAATGGACTGCATTTATATAGAGCTTTTCTGATCGTAGCAACCACTCAAAGCATTTTACACTACAACTCACATTCACTCAATCACACAAATTCATACAGTGCTGTCTATCACACCCAGGAATCAAACCTCCGACCGTCTGATTAGTGGACGACCAGCTCTACCTCCTGATCTGCAACCACCCCATAATGACAATAGCAACACAACACACATCTACACTTAGAGTAGTTAAGTGAAGATGTTTTCACAAATAGTTTTAATTCATCAATTAACTTCATACAAAGTGCAGTGAAAAGAAAACCTAAATTAGACCAGTATTTGCTGTCACCCCCCCCCCCCCCCCTTTGCGTTTAGAACAGCTCCAGTTCCCCTCAGTACACCTAGGACTTGTTATTGTTCAAAAATGTTCGATATCAGTACCAATATACAGATTTTATCCAATCCATTTTAAACAAAAGAAAATTACAATATACACTACAGTACACATTTTAATTTTACTTAAGTTTAATTTTTTTACTCACTCAAACCTGTGTGTGTATATAAACAGCCAATCAGCAGCATTATTTGATCTTGGTCCAAGCATGCTGCATGCTGATTGGCTCACCGATGATACTGAGATTTACTCATTTGCTCGAGTATCAAAATTTGGTATCGAATGGGAACATACTGTATCAAGTGGCTTAAACATTAACACAGTACTGTACATAAGATATACACACTGCATTAAAACATTAGATACAAAACACTGGAGCGCTGATCAATAATTTACACAACTATTATTATCTTCTATATGCATTCTTAAAGAGCAGCTCCACAGAGAGAGTGCAGTTGAAAGATCCAGGAAAAAGCTATTAAGTAGCTAAGTTTTGTTATCTATTACAGATTATTATTCATTATTATTGTAGCCTTAAGGCTACATTATCCAATTATCATATTAAAACAATTACAACTGTTTAGAACTGAAAGGCTTGGTTTAATTAACGGTCACCTACTTTGACAGTTAATAATTTTTTATAACATTAGTGGCAGTGCTAATATTTTAACATCATAATATTTCATCATTACACTATTACTATCATGTTTTTTCTACCAAGAAACACTTTCAAAAGAAAAAAGTAAATATAAGATCTTTCATAAAGACTAAATTTCTCAACAGTATTTGGTCCCTCTTCCATTTTTAAAGCTGCAGTCCACAAGAACCGAGAAGGAACACACAGACAAACACAAAGTCATGGCTTCATCAGCACACAGCTGACTCCCAGTGATGAAGGAAACATCTTGAGTCATCCTCAGTCATTACTGTGCTCTCCCTTTTCATCTCAGAGCCCTGCCCCCTTCAGGGAGCAGCGGTGATTGATGATTTGGCCGACGACGCAGAGATCGACCTAACCGCTGGAGCCAAGCCATCCAAAACCGAGTACCACTGAGCAAATATTATGGGTTAGAGTTAACTGTGCAAATGGGTCAGGTTCAATTACAGCCAGCTAAAAGAGCCCATTCACCAGCACAGCTCTACACTGTGGGATGAGCTGAAGCGCCCCGAGATGGAAAGAAAAATTCACACTCAAGCACAAAGTCTGGACACGTGTCGGTATATTTTTCTTGCTGGCGTGTGACGTCATGCTGAGATATTTTCAGTGGAGCTGAAGTTCACATACAATACTGGATTTCTGAGGCCAGAATCATACGAGCTTAAATAAGACAGACTGTGTTTGAGTGAGTTTTACACACAGTTTTCCGCTTCATTGTTCACATCTTTTTCAACTTATTAGTTCACAGATTCAGTCAAATCTTTTCTACACATGTAAAACCTTCAATTTCTCCTGCAGATTTATTTTACAGGTTCACAAAGGTTCATTTACAACTACAAACAAGTTCAAAATCTTTTTGACCCTAATCTGAGCTCACAAAACAGAAGCTTCGTGTCCACTTATTGAATTTAATGCCATTCTTGCTCTATTCGGCCTCCCTCAGTTGCATTTTAGTAGGTTCATTAATGGCTAGACGCCTAATATTGAGGAGATGGAAATCACCAACACCACCCTCTCATATTCTGTGAATAAAAGAAATATTCAATAATTTACATCTTGAAAAAAATCCAACTACCGAATTTGAAATTTTAATTTAAAAAGATGTGGGAGAAAATGACCTTCCCAGTTATCCCCGAATAAGGTCTCACGTTATTTTATTTACTTCTTATCCGTATTTATTTATTTTAACTGAGGTCATCACGCTTACTAGAATATAATGGAATAAGACCAAGCTGACCGTATAAGTGGGTTTTCTTTAAAAACGGGTAAACCCTAGTCTGCTAATAAAAGCAGACTGACCTCTTTTCCCCTGCCAGTCCAGTTTGTCTTTCTGTTCGAACTGAGGACACACACAACTGCAAGAAGTGATGTCATCACATGCATTTACAGGTCTGTCAGGTCTCATCCCTGGCTTTGATGTTGCTATAGAAGCATCGGAGCCTCCATGTGAGACGCTTCGATCTGTGATTGTGTGTTTTTAAAATTTACTTCAGGGCTGAAGCTCAATCTTTCATCCCTGAACAGAGTGTGGCTGTGGTGTTTCTGGTGTAAAAGCACTATGCTGGACAGATGACAGGTGTGTTTAGAGTGTCTGTCTCTGAAAGACGTCACAGCAGGAAAAAGAGTGAAAATTAGCCCCGAGTGTGAACGCTGATTGTTCCCTTTTCCGTTGCAGACAAAAGCCAGATGTTAGCGGGTCTTAGCGGGATTTTCAACCAGTGGAAAAGGGATTTTAGTGTTGTGTTGTTGTTTTGTCAACTGTATTATTGTTTTATTGTAACATCAGAGTGTTACTTACAAGTGCTTTGACACCATTCTCAGTTTGTGTATAAAAAAAATAAAATAAAAAAAATAAAGTTTATTAAAAAAAAGTGTTGACTTCACTCTCTGATGTTATTTTCTATTTCCCAAAATGCTTTTCAAAGATCAAACAGCTGGTCTTTGACACATATGATAGTGAAATAAATATCTGATGAATGTCAGTCAGTCACCTGTCACTTGTGTGTTGATATTTTATAGAAAAAAACATTTACTGAGAAAATAACTGGGAGTTCAATTGATAAATAACATTTCTACTGTTCATGATGAAAAAAAAGAATATTCTAATTATGCCTCTCATTTTATTGTCCCACTTCACACATGAAAAATATACTGAATTGTATATGTTTTACAGCAGAGGTAAGCAACCTTGTCAGACATGCAGATCACCTCTGTAAATGTCTGTAAATAATATTAGTGCTGAGATGAAAATTGGCAATTATTTTAACAATTGATTACTTGTTTTTGTAATTTTTCAAACCAAGAAACTAGTGTGAGGATTTGCTTCTTTCTTTCTTTTACATCACTGACGTTGATCATTGAGTTTTGAGACTTTTTTATTGTTTTATTACAGATTATTTTCTTATATTTGACCAAACAAAAAAATCATAGGTTTATTGCAGTACTACAGTGAATAATTATATTATAAAATAATAAGCTGAATATTTCATGAGTTTGGTTATTGTTTCAGGCCCATCAGATATGAAACTACATTGATCTTCAGATGATATCTTCTGTAAACACAGTGCCTGTCAAGTTAATGGCAGCACCTC